TTTAGCAATGATCTGTTCACCTTGCTAATTAATAAAACTCTAAAAATTTTCAATGTTAATAAACTTTTATTCAACTTTTTACAGAGAGAAAAATCGAAACGTTCTCATCAATCAAAACAAAAACTTAAAAATATTTGAAATTGAATTTTACTTTTTAAATTCAATAAATGCACAGCCAACTGGGTCGCCACAGTACCCCCTCCTAGCGATGGAGTACTAGCAACAACGCGACACCACAACTAAGTCGACAACACCACTCTTAATCACGAAATTCCGCTAACCTTGCTGGGAAACGCACTACTCTACCAGCTCGTGTCACTTTCGGAATCGGCAACAGGGATTCACGCCTACAATCACCAGAAGTCACTAACTGATCACCATTCAACAGCGCTGAAGGCTGACGCGTTTCTGGAACAACCTGTTCAAGATCATCACACGTTAAGTACGCCGCCTTCAACCTATCCTTCGAAACAGTCACCTCTCTCCCACGGCAAACAATAACAGACGTCTTCTCACTACGACTCAGCACCTCAAATGGACCTTCGTAAGGCTGCTCAAGTGGAGCTCGAGCACGATCCACTCGAAGAAAAACGTGCTTACAATTAATAACGTCACGCGGAACATACACAGATGGATGACAATGTCTTGTTGATTCAACGGATTTAACCTTAGCTAAAGCCCTTCGCAACGCCGACACAAAATCAGTCTCGGACGACTTCTGCTTGAAATCCGAAAGCATCTGCCCAGGAACACAAAGAGGATTTCCAAACAACATCTCTGAAGGACTAGCATTTAGGTCTAGTTTCGGTGTCGTTCGCAATCCCAACAACACAAGCGGAAGAGACTGCGTCCAATTACTTGAGGAATGACATCGAATGGCTGCCTTCAATGTTCTATGGAAACGTTCAACCATGCCATTTGCTTGAGGATGATAAGCCGTGGTATGAAAGTGTTTCACTCCAAGCAATCTCGTCAGTTCCCGAAATACAGCAGACTCAAACTGCCGACCCAAATCAGTGGTAATAGCCTGCGGAGAACCAAAACTTGCCCCCCAACCGTCGATAAAAGCCGCTGCAACTTCTTCTGCCGTAATGCCCGACAGAGGCACAGCAACAGGCCACCGAGAAAAACGATCGACGCAAGTCAAACAATAACGCTTCCCCTGAGACAAAGGCAATGGACCCACAATGTCAACATGAACATGCTGGAACCGACTATCAATATCAGCAAACGAACCAATTGGTGTTTTAGTATGCCGCTGAATCTTAGACTTCTGACACGCAATGCAACTACGCACAAACACAGCTACATCCTTAACCAAACCAAGCCAAACATACCTAGCCTGCACCAATTTCCGCGTTGCTCGAATACCAGGATGAGCCAAACCATGGAGTTTTGAGAGTACCAGCTGCCGACAGTTTGCGGGAACAAAAGGACGAACACGACTGCCTGACACATCACAGTACAGTTCAATACTCGAATCCGGCAATCTCAACTTCTTCAACCCAACACCATCTTCAGACTGGCTCTTCAGCTGAGCGAGCAACTCTGCATCAGTCTTCTGCCCCTCAGCAATTAACTCAATAACATTTGCCTCCAACTGAACCGTAGCAACCCGAGACAAAGAGTCAGCCACCGTATTATCTGCACCAGCCAGATGACGAATATCAGTGCAATACTGACTAATAAACTCCAGCTGTCTTGCACGACGAGGAGATGCCTTCTCACTTATTTGCCTGAACGCAAACGTTAATGGTTTGTGATCCGTAAAAATGACGAAATCACGTCGGGGTCACCAATTTAGCAATGATCTGTTCACCTTGCTAATTAATAAAACTCTAAAAATTTTCAATGTTAATAAACTTTTATTCAACTTTTAACAGAGAGAAAAATCGAAACGTTCTCATCAATCAAAAAACTTAAAAATATTTGAAATTGAATTTTACTTTTTAAATTCAATAAATGCACAGCCAACTGGGTCGCCACATTTCTTTTGATCTACTACATCAGTACTGGCGGTCTTCGTTTTATAGTTCTGTATAGTAGTGCCTGCACCAAATAGAGCATCTTCAATAACGTTTCTACCCTGACCATTTCCTTCGAAATTATTAGGCAAACCGCCAAATGTAGGCTCAAGGGATTGTAATGCTCTATTATTGGTTATTATATTTGCACCTTGATAATTTATTTTTCTATTTTGTTGCTCAGGTTCATCGTTGAAAAAATTGGGTACGCTATATTGTTCACCATGATTGGATTTATGATTGTGAGCGCGATGGTGATCCTGCTTTTTATTATTTGTCTTATGATCACTGTTTGAGTGATGATGATGTGGTGTGTCTTCATTTTGTCGATGTTTCGATTCATGGTATGATTTTGTGTGATCGTCGTTATATTGTTTCTTATCATGTTTTTGGTACACATCATGATGTTGCTGTTGTTTTTCATCGTGATCATTATAATGTGCCTGCTGATCATGCACCCGGTTTGCATCATAGTGTTGATATTGCTTCTCTTCTTTTTGATGATAATTTGGTTGGTAATCCCGATCATTATATGCATCGTACTGTTGATGTGACTTTTCGTCGTATTTGTGACTTTGTCTACCGTAATCTTGTCCTTGGTATGAATCATATTGTTGTTGTGGTTTTTCGTCTTGCTTATGTTTAGGTGTTTTGTAATCATTTGCTTGGTATACATCGTACTGCTGATATTGTTTGTCCTCACGATAATGATCTACTTTTTGTTGCTTCTTTTCATTTGACTGATATGTAGGCACTTGTACTTTATGATTATAGTCATTTGATTTTTCTTCATGTTTGTCTCCAAAGTTAATACGTAGTGCAGCTTTATCATGGGATGGTTCCTTATCATTGTAACTTTGTTCCTTTTTGTCTGGATGAGAATGTTCATTTCTATCAACTCCTTGCACTTCTGCATATGAACGAGTATTACTTGCGGTGTCATATTCCTGATTATTAGCTACTTTAAAATCGCTTTCCTGTGATTGTACATTTATTTGAGTATGGAAGACTGAATGTGGTGCATTAGCATAGACTAAACGTTTTGTGCCATAATAAATATCAGTGTTGCCTGGTCTGAAAGAGTTCCTGCGATCAGTGTCAATCGATAATTCACTTGGTGCAGTATGTAAACGATCGATGGGTGCTGCTTCTAAGTCCGTTAATCCTTTTGGTTTAGAATTTTTGTAGTAAGTGGTTAGTTTTGGATCACTCTTGGAACTTAATTCATGTTGATATGAATGTTGCTTTAAAACATCAGTACTTAATCCTTTATTTTCAACTTTAGGTGTTTGTATATGTTTTGGTGGTTCTGGTGGCAAGTAATGCCGATCTTCATTTGTGTGTAACAAATGAGATACATCTGCAATGGTGTATTGACAAATTAAGAATAAAATGATTAGAATTTTAAACATATTAGAAACTTTTCACTATGTTCTTGGTGCAGAACTTAAGTTCGAATGATTTGGAAAGTAAAATTCGTTCATTTAAATATTAACTTATTTCGCATATTTTTTTTATTTTTTTTGTTAATTTATTTATTTTAAAATTAAAAAGATTGCTCTACAAATTAATTGCAATTTTATTCTTTTTAAGATGTTTTTTAAATTGATTGCACGAAAATATTTAAAGCTTGTTTTATTAAAATCTCTGATTGTTGCTGATAATTATTTTTAAATTAAGATTGTTTGTTAATCGTGAGAATATCAATTCTTTAAGATTCTGTTTAAATAATATATAATGCATTGTTCAATAAATAAATAACACTTCAAAATAAAAGTAGTTATCTTACCGATCAAGAAAGTTCAATATTTTAATTTATTATTTAGAACATTTTCGCTTATTCTCAAGAACTCATGGCGTTCTTAAGACACTCTACACCTTTTTAAGTGAACTGAAAACTTGAGTATTAAGAAATTAAATTAAATGAAAATTTCCTCTTAAATGTCATTGTCTTAGATATTTTATTATATTATATAGGATGGATTACATATTTTTCTAAAGCATAAAAATTTAAATTTTTGATTTAATTTGATTTTGCTTTATCGGAATAAATTACTTAGTAACTGAAGGCATAATTTTACTAACATTAATGGACATATTTTTTGATATGTGATAGATAAATGATTTTGCCACTGTCAAGTTGAGTATAAGCACTTTACTATGATGCAAATTAAATCGGTTTTTCTTGTCATATCAAGTACCCTCATATAAAAATCCCCAAACTCTCAGCTCCCAATGTACAATATATTTATGCCATCATATACCACTTTATGGTATTAAAACCAAAATCAAATTTAAATTAGTTTTAGCTTCATGCAAACTGCACTTAATGTACAAGATTTCTGAGAAAATGCACTTTAACTGAATTTTTAAAAACTAAAACAGTTTTTAACAATTTTTTTTTTATTTAATTTTTTAACTATCAAAACCAAAACTCTTTTGTTTAAGGTTTACGAGTATGATATGAACTGTGGTGACCTTCAGACAATTTTGTGTCTTTCAGCGCCGTCATCGACGGCTTAACTAATTTGTATCTATTTAACTCTTTGTTGGATTTGTTGGATAATCTATTGGTGAATCTTGAGGCAACAAAAGGTCGCACTTCGATTATTCATTTCATGCCAAATGACATAAAAATCATTAAATGAAAAGAAACAGTTGAGCAGCTGTTGACACAAATACAAAAATAAAAATTTATTTAAAAACACTTAATGACGAGCTTAAAGTAATAAAAAAACAAAATATATAATGAATTTTAACAGTTTCTGAAATTATAAACACTGTTTGAGTAAAACGGTAGCAACAAATAAAATTTAATTTATTTTTACTACACAAATTTTTAATCAAACAAATCGATGCAGCAGATGAATGTGTAATGCATTGTTTTTAAAAAATATTTTTATAAAAAACTTAAAAAAATATATAATAATAAAGTCTTTTCTTTACTAAAAACTTGGGCTGTAAACCGGAACTGAATAGATAATCAGAAAAAAAACCATTGCTTTTTCTGGACTAAATTTAAAATGTTTAATTAAATTTATTAAATTTTTTTTTT